TCCCAAGAAGCCAATGGAAGACTCTGACAGCGATGATGAACCTGTGCGCAAGCCAGTGAAGGCATCACCCAAGACTGCTCCCAAGAAGCCAGTGGAAGACTCTGACAGCGATGATGAACCCGTGAAGATGCCCTCCAAGCGTGATAGTCGTGAGGATAGAGATGAAGAGGAAGATGAACCCGTGAAAAAGGTAAACCGCTGGGAAAATGGTGAGGAGAACGGAGGCAATGGCTTCGGTCAACGCGGTGGGCGTGGCCGTGGATTCGGTGATCGTGGCGGCCGTGGGTTCGGCGATCGTGGCGGTCGTGGATTCGGTGATCGTGGCGGTCGTGGATTCGGTGATCGTGGTGGCCGTGGATTCGGTGATCGTGGTGGTCGTGGATTCGGTGATCGTGGTGGCCGTGGATTCGGTGATCGTGGTGGTCGTGGATTCGGTGATCGTGGTGGCCGTGGATTCGGTGATCGTGGCGGTCGTGGTGGTCGTGGATTCGGAAACCCTGTTGCCAGTCTTGATAACAACCGGACGAGCACCAAGTTTGAAGATAGTGATTAGGAACAATAAGTAAGAAAAATACTCCCTGTCTTTGGTTAAATAAAAGGAAGATAAGATTTAACTCATAGGAAAAACATGGTAACATAACGGATCGGTTGGAGAGTCATCACGATTGTGTTTAATATCTAATTAGATAATCTTATAAGTACATTTGATACAGTGTGTTTGTATGAGTCTGTGTTTTGTGCTTTCTTCTATTGTTGCAAACTACATTCTTTTCTTTTTTTTTTTTTTTTTTAGCGCTAGTCAGTGCTTGACCGATAATGCGGTTGGTACTGTAAAGATGGACAATAATAGGTTTTCCTTCCCATACGCCTTTCTTGGATGTTTTTATTTTTTTTTTTCTTTTCTTTGAAGAACTGGAGTTATTCATAAGGGATAACTTTCGGAATGACTCCTTCAAATTTGAAGAAGTTGTCATGTCGTATAGTATGGAGTGAGATAACGGTTGACTGCTTTGACGTTATTTTTGTTTTCTCTTTTGCAGAGAACTACCATGGCCAATAGTGTAATCAGACTCCACTATCTTGGTGGAGAGAATCCCTACGCTGTGGAATTTCACCGTTGTTGTTTTTGTTTGTTTCTGCGAGTCTTTTCTCCATAACTTCCTTCTTTGATAAAATATGCACTATGTAAACTTGTGTCTTTCAAAGACAGGAAGATTCATGACGGTTTTGTTACTCATTACCTGGGAAGGAGATAAGAATAACTGTTCTTTTGAATATACTCACCGATGTTGGTAAAGGTTGTCCTTTTATGTATGTCTCTGTGTGTGACAATGGTTTTTTAATATTATGTACAGTTTCACTTTCTTCTTCCCCCCCCCCTTCCTTCTGTTCATATTCGTATTCCCTCCTCTCATCACTTGTAACAATTCTCTCTCTCTCTCTCTCTCTCTCTCTCTTTCTTTCACACATGAACGGTGTTGCCAGAAGGGATGTCCTTCAGGAGCATTCGACTTCGTACTTCCGCCCCTCACGGGTCTCGGCGGGACGGTGACCCCCTCGACATTACAGGCGCCGGGTGGGCTTCGCTCGAGCAGAAATTCAACGAACTCGTGCGGCTGATGGACGGACCGGCCAACGGGGTCAACGCCCTCGCGGCCCGCATTGCCCACGGTGAGCGCGTCTCGACTGTCATCGCCCAACTCCTCGATCGCGCCCAGGATGAGAGCCGTCGACTTCTCGTGGAGGGCGACGGGGAGGCGGCGGCGGAGGCGGGCGTCAAGACTCTACGACTGAAGGAGCGTTTTTACGGTAAAGCAAGTGTGAAGCTCGTTCCAGCCTACTTTCATCTGGCCCGCACTAATCAATACCTGGGACGATATGGAAATGCAGAAGAGATGCTCTCGTTGGCGCACTTTATTATTCTAAATAACCCGGATGAAGTTGGAACAGATGTAAAGGCAGAACTTCATCAAACTTTTGGACTCTTGTACGCCGCAGATAATAAATTAGAGGCGGCTGTAAAACATTTAACCACCGCTACGTATTATCTTAGTGTACTAAATGGTCCGGAACATGTATTAACAACATTCGGATACTTTGATTTGGCAAATGTATTTGCGACTCAAGCTAGTATGGAGGCGGCAATGGCACTCTATGACACGGTAAAAAATATATGGATTCGGCACTTGCGTGGTGTTCTGAAGGATATCGTAGAAGAAATGCTAGTTGCAAGATCTGTAAAACGTTATGAAGATGATGAAGTAGTACAGGAAGCTGGCTACGCATCTGCAAGAGCTTTTGGGAAAGATAATTTAGCTGATGTTTCCAAAATGCTTCATGGTATACTTAACATTCAAAAGGAACGTTTCGCTTCTTCGCATCCAACAACAGCGCGAGCTCAGTTTGTGCTTGGTCTATTCCTTCTTTGGGTAAGCAAAAAAGAAGAAGCTGCGCGACATTTGCGCGCGGCCCGGGCGATTTCTCAACGATTCCATGGTGAGAGGCACCCAGTAGTGCAAGAAATTGAAGAGTGGTGTGAATGGTTTGAAATTCCTTTTGAAGATGTTAAGTCGTTAAAACTCAAGCACGAACAAAAACAAGAAGAAGAGCAAAAACAACTGACTCGAGTACTGTTACAAGCAGAGGAATATCAAGAACCGAAGGAAGAAGAACAAGAACAACAAGAACAGGAACAAGAGGAACAACCACACTCGTAGAATTGCAAAAGTCTCTGACATGTAAATAGATTTTTAAGTGTCAAGGAAAGAGTTTTGCATCACTTTGCTTGTAAAAGAAAAAGAAAGAAAGAAAGAAGTTAATGCTTCTTACTTTAGTTTAATATTAGTTAATCTTGTATAAAGGGAGCCATAATTCTCTTTTATTTCTCTTTCTCTTTTCCCTTTAACTGTGTGGATATGAATTTTTTTTTACTAGGGGAACAGTACTCGTAATGTTTATACCAAAAAGCAAAGGATGAATACTGTAATATATACAGAAGAAGATGTGTTCTATGAGATTTCAACTATTCGAGATCCAGAACGAACGATTTTCACTTTAGCAGAACTGGACGTGGTGGCACCAGAGCGCTGCAGTGTAACATACAATAATCATGAGGGTTTACGTATATGTATGGCAGGAAATGGAAGTGCCTGTGGTGATGTGGGTGTTCCGAAACCCACTGGCTTAGTAATGATTGTCTTAAAACCTACAGTACCTCATTGTAGTCTTATGGGTATTATTTGTTTATCTGTATATGCCAAGTTAAAGGAAGTTCTTCCATCATCTCTTTGTGATTGGAAGATTGATATAACATTGGTTGAGGGTTCTCATCTGCAACAAGATGATGTAGAGAAGCAGATAGCTGATAAGGAACGAGTGGCAGCAGCTTTAGAGAATGAAACTTTGGTAAAGGAAATTGATAGGCTCATCAATGCCGATGGTGACTAACTCCTTGAGGTGAAAGATTTTTTTTTTGTTGTTGTTGTTGTTGTTTGTTTGTTTCTTTTTTATCTTGATAAAGTAAACGTGACGAAAAGAAATAGAAAGGGAGGGGGAAAGGAGGTGGGGCAAAGAAGGAAAGGGTGAGTAAGTATAGTAGTGAGAAACAAAACTTTCTTTCTTTCCTTTTTTTGTTTTCCCTTTTACCACTACTTTTGGTATTATTTTATTTATGTGAATTGTATTTTTTACTATTATTATTCTGGATTGTATGTTTTCCTATTTCAATAGATTTCATTTTCTTGTTTCTACTCTTATTCTTCTATAATATATATATATATATATATATATATATATCACATAGAGTGAGAGAAACAAAACTAAAAAAAAAAAAAAACAAAGAAGTATTAGCAACAGAAGATAATGTCAGTCAACCAACTGCTGGATCTTCAATTTCAGCTGAAGTTTGTGGCGAAACAATTCGCAAAAAATGCCACACGATGTGAGAAGGAACAAAAACAAGAAATGGCTAAATGCAAGCGTGCAATGGAAAAGGGAAATATGGATGGGGCTCGCATCTTTGCACAGAACAGTATTCGAAAGAAGAACGAGTCACTGAACCATCTGCGACTTGCTGCTCGCATGGACGCTGTGGTTTCACGCCTGGATACAGCTGTGAAAATGAAGATGGTAACAAAGGGAATGGGTCAAATGGTAAAAGGTATGGATAAGGTGTTGAACTCCATGAATCCAGAGGCCATCTCAACACTTATGGATAAATTTGAAAAGCAATTTGAGACGATGGATGTTACATCGGAATATATGGAAAACGCTATTGGGCAAACTACGGCAACAAGTATGCCAGAGGATGAAGTTAACACATTAATGGCGCAAGTAGCGGATGAACATGGTTTGGATATTAAGGAACACTTAAATGATAGGTTGAAAATTAGCAATAAAAATCCTGTTGAAGTTAATACAAAACAAACAGTAGAGGAAGAAGATGATTTGGAGGCACAGTTTGCACGACTACGAGGAATGTAGAGGAGCAATACCTACTAGATACAGCAAAATATATCGTCAAAGGACAATTATTTACTTTTTTTTTTTCTTTCTTTCCTTCTTTCTTTCTTTGCTTTCACAGTTTCTGTTCTGCGCTCGTGTTCCTGTGTGTAGTACTATGTCTATGTGTATGCGTATTCCTACTTGAGCATCTTGCCGTCATGTGTTCTTTTTGTTCGCGAGCATAAACGGATAAAGAGAGACATATATATATATATAATCTTTTTTATTCTCCTATTATACGAATGAGGTAATGTTCCTTTATTGTAGTATTTTCTTCTTGTTTTTTTTTTTTGCTTTTCTTTTCTTTGTTATATGATATTTTAAATAAGTCAGCGTAAGGGTTGAGATATTTTACAGAAGAGGGGTTATATATACATATATATATATATATATATATATATATACGTATTCATGCCAAAGCTGAATTACCGTGATAAAAAAATATGTGAAAGACTAAAGAATGGGATCACACTCGCTGACATAGAGGCCGTTAACGAACCGGAATATACCGCTTGGATCTCACGACGCCGTTATATTTCTGGCGTTTTTGTATGGGAATTAAACTGGTTTATAACAGCTGGTAATTTCTTTTTACGATTTCCAAAAAAGAATAGTTATTCTTATCCCATTGAAGTAGTTTACTTACCAGATGCTATTATTAGACGATGTCATTTAAAGGAGGAGTGCTGTGTTAGGCACCCATTCGTTATGGAGATTGTTGCACATACACATTTCCTTAAGGAAAAAGAAAAGTTTATCTCTGCCAATGACCAAGCTGTTTATCTGGGTTTTGAAAATGCAGAAGATATGTGTGGTTGTTTGGCCTTTATTACAAAGATTGCTGCTCGTCATACACAAACGGCATCTATTATGTTTGGATCACCATTGCAGGTTCAACATTGTATTCATTTAAATGCAACAAATAATGAGAAAAATTTTGGTTTTGAACTTCTCTCAAAAGAAATGCAAAATTGGTTATTGCAACAAGGTATAACAAGGGAAGAAATGAAAGGATGTGAGGAAACGGTATTAAGTTGTGCTGAAACATTATATGAATATCAGAAACAGATTGGTGTGGAAACCAATATGCCGTTTTCTCTTCTTGGAGAAAATAAAATGAGTCGTAAGAAGAAGGAAGAGGTGATGGAGAATGAAGAAAGTAATCAGTTATTTTTGTTACCAACAGATATGTCGAATGTAACAATGGAATCTCTTCTTACGAAAGGGGACCCTCATCAACTTTATAGTAATTGGGAAAAATTAGATAGTGGTTCACAAGGTGAAGTTTTTAAGGCCAAACGAAAAAGTGATGGAAGTGAAGTCGCCATTAAACGTATTACAATAAAGCGAGTACGTAAGGAATTATCCGCTTTATTAAAGGAAATGACTTTACTTAAAGCTCTTCGTCATCCTAACATTGTAACCTTACATGAATGCTATAAAAAAGAAAAAGATTTATTTCTTACAATGGAACTAATGGATGGTGGTAAATTGGCAGATTTGTTAGATCCCATTGAAGGACCTAGAGTAAAATTTACAGAAATACAATTATCAACCATTATGCGAGAAGTACTACTAGCTTTACAGTGTCTTCATCACGCCAAATGTATGCACCGTGATGTAAAGTCGGATAATATTCTTCTTTCTTCCCGTGGTGAAGTAAAACTGGGAGATTTCGGTTTGGCAACATTAGTTTCTGCCCCTAAAGGAACACGACGAACGGTTGTTGGGACACCGTACTGGATGGCACCTGAGGTGGCGAGTGGGAAGCCTTATAATATTAAAGCCGATATATGGAGTGCGGGAATTCTTTTTATTGAACTCTGTGATGGTAAACCACCGTTAATGGGAATACATCCTGTGCGTGCGCTTCTTAAGGTTTGCACAGGGCCTCCTCCTGTTATGAAAAGTGCGAAAAAGTGGTCTGAAACTTGTCAGGAATTCGCAAAATATCTTTTAGTAAAAGATCCTGTAGAGCGACCAAGTGTGGATGATGCGCTAAAACATCCTTTTATTAAAATGAGTTCGGAATCGTCATGCCAGTTTATAGCAACTATACTAAAAGAAAGAAAGAGGGAGTGAGTCTTTTTGTTTTTCTTTTCTTTTTATTATTATTATTTTTTTTTTTTTTTTTTTT